TCTCTCTCTCTCTCTCTCTCTCTCTCTCTCTCTCTCTCTCTCTCTCTCTTTCGGGCTTATTGCCTTCAGGGAACCCGCAGTGGGGGACACTGGCCAGGGACAGCCGCTAGCAGAGGGACCTAACATCATCTGAGTGGCCAGTTCACTGCTCTGTGTGTGTGTGTGTGTGTGTGTGTGTGTGTGTGTGTGTGCATGYGTGTGTGCGTGTGTGTGTTTATGTTTGTGTGACATGTCCGTTGGCACGCTGCCTCTCTGAGAGGTCACCTCGGGACCTCGGACCTGTTTTGGGCTATATTCAGATCGACCGAAGACAGCGGATGAATGTGGTCATATTCGTCCAAAAATGAGGGAGAAATATGCTTCAAGATCATTGAAAAAAAGGCCAGTTCAGTGCGGCCTGGACCATGAGGCAGTGCTTCAGACTGTACGCCGACTAGGAGGCTGATGGGTCCTCCGCTCCCAAAATCTAACTCACACGGCCTCCATATAGATATAGATATAGATATAGATATAGATATTCCTTTTGTTACGGCGTCCGTATTTTTGGGTAGAAACATTCCCAAAACCGTTGAACTGCTTTGAAACTTCAAACTTGATTATGGGCCTTGCTGCACTACACAGCACTCGACATGCATTTAGACGCTTTCTCCACCCAACGCATTCAAAATGTTGGACTCGTCGGAACGCAGCTGGTCCAGAAAGCGGCCAAGTGCATGTAGAGTGTTGTGCAGTGCAGCGATGCCCGCCTGCGGCGAAGTCCCACTAGCATCAGGCCTGCACTGCGTGCATGAGTTTCCTCACCGCCTGCCTGGGTGCCGTGCAGCTGAGAAAACTCCTTTTTTTTTTTCTTTTTTTTTTTTTTAAAAGCCCTGTGATATCCCTCTATCCTGGCGGTGGTAAAAGAGCCGTCAAGATTGAGGGCTCAGCTGAGGAAACTCAATGCCATTTCTGCACATCTTCACAAACACGACCAGATTTCTCAACGCTGCCACCTAGTGGGGCTTGGCCCCGATATACGCGTTACCAAAGCATGCAAAACCGGGGTTATATCTTCAATATGCCCTTTGCAAAAACAATGTTCATAGCCTCCAAATTTGAATACTTGAATTTGTAAACTGGAACCGAAAAGTCTTCTCAAGCCTAGGCCCAACTGGAGACACCACGTGGCATCAACTCTGCTCAAGTTCTTCAGCATTTTCCATCACTTCATCCACGACCAGTGCTCTCCCCTCAGTCTATCACAAAGCTTATTACTCCACCAAATTGAATTCCAAATTCTTTCTGATTCCGCGCAATCCCACCGCAGGAGGGATGTAGTTTCTTCCTTTTTCTTGCCCCTACGACATAGGGCGTCGTTAGACACTCCTATTGAAATCCTCGGGCAATAGGAAAGATTCATAATGGCTCAAAAGGAAAATTGGGCCCTTCTACGTCGCCCGAGGACATTTCCTAAGACCTATGTCAGCAAAAAAGAAACGAAAAGAAAA